GGGGCTACTGATGTACTGTGTATAGCGGGGGATGATGAAGCATATATGACTAGGCCTAGGCCTAAGTAGACAGTGCAATTATATGTGATAGAAAGTACACTTTCGAAAGAAATAAATTAAAATAAGAAAACAAAATTAACTAGGGCCTAAGAATAATTCAGTTGCAGACGTACCTTGTTTAAGCAATAAATGCTAACTATGTGGCTCTTGTAGCCCTAGCTAGGCAAGGCAATCATGTGCAAAGCAGTGGTGTAAGTTTATCCATGAAAAAAGCACGCTGGGAAAGTTTGCCTACCAGGAAAAGGTGACGTAATCTAGCTTATGACGTATGCATGCTAACTATAGCGCGAGTGTGACGTCACCAAAAAATAAAAAATTTCTATTATAACCAAAATAATAACTACAAGGTTTGTGGGCGTAAATTCCCTTAATACGAATTAAGGGTAGCACCATCTCCTTGCCATACAAATACAGCTCCCATTGACGTCTCAGTCGAGAAAAACGGGTAGCTGAAGTTTTTTTCGAAAATCTGACTACGAAACCATATCTGAAATTCACGTTCCACTTCTGACTCTTATGTTGTGCTTCGCACACGCCGCTGAGGGCGGCATTCCGGGAACCCAGCGTCTAGAAAAACAACACTCATAAATAATCATAAGCTTGAACACCTAGAAATTCGTCGATCACATCACAAACTAACACAATCAAAGTAGATTGTGTTAGTTCTGATTGTGTTAGTTCGTGAAATCCTCAAAACGAGAGCGGAATATTCTTTATCACACAAAAAGTCTGTAACAACTGCGCATATTTTAATGCGCTTTTGTGATTGCACGAACTAACACGATCTAATTTGATTGTGTTAGTTTGTGATGTGAGTGACGAATTATATATTTGATTATAAATCATTAAGTAACAACTGGAAAATATTTATTATTTTTTTAAACCTTAAATCATTTTGTTTTTATCACTACATGTATGTTTTTGTTTTATTTTTTCTTATTTTATATAACCACTATCACACTTGTTTTTAATCTATATTGTATTCATTTATTAAATTGGGTTTACATCTGACTTAATTGCTAACAATATTGTAATATTGGCTATGAAAACAATGCCTTTACAAATGAAGTGATTTTGGTCACAAGAGGGCTCACTTCATTCACACTTTCAACTCAGTCCAACAAGTGGGACAACAAAAGTATCTTTCACATCACCTGTCATTGTAAAAACAAGGAAAATCAATCCGTAGGCACGAGTCAAAGTGATCAATAAAAGTGTTATGATAAGGAGAAACAAAGACTAATGGCAGACAAAGTGATGAAAAAATATTTTTAATCCCATTTCATTACACCAGCAAAAATATATGTATGAACAACAAGTTAGACAAAATCAACTTTTGTCACATTCACCTAATTAGTTGTCACATCCTCTCATTCGCGAATCATCCCACATCGTACTGCATCAAATTTTCTCCTCCCACATAGATGTGGTTACCTACATTTTGTTAACCCTTACTTCAGCACCAAATTCCACAGGTACTTAATAGAAAATCACCCACTGTGGATTAATTTTAGATTGATTTTGACTACTTACAAAATCTTCGATTTAAATCTGTACAGATTATCCTACAATGGATATATTCTACTTTAATACGATTTTGCAAGTTGTGAATAAAGAGAAAGTATCTAATTTGGATCTGTCTGACTAACAAGTGTGAGGTAATGGTAAAGTCACGGTCTATGTATTAGTACAATTAATGGAAGTACAATCTTCAGAGGGTTCTTCATTAAATCCAAGGCAAGTGTCAGTAATTGACACATTTGGAGCAGTGATGCAAATTGTCTAAACCTCACCATGTCATATGAGCGAGTTAAAATTTGTACTTTTCTGTAGAACAAACAAAATAATTTGAGTTATTCAACTATAAACTTTATTGCAAATCATCATTAAATTATAAATTTTACCATCTCATATGCCCAAGTCAATATTTGTACTTTTCCGTGGAACAGTCAAAATAATTTAATTCTTGGCAACCTAATTAGGTATCTGCATTATTCACCTCTCTGTCTGCTTCTTCAGTTTTCATATGTGCACAGTGTCTACCTCTCTGATTGTCTGGGTATTTGTCTATCAAATTTTTACCCATATCTTGGTCTTCATCACTCATAACAAAAATAATTTGTTGATTTGCCATCTCATCAAACTCTATTTTTGCTATATTCAATTCCTAAAATGCAGTTGCTCTATAAATGAATTAATCACAGTATTTGTTGTGTTTTCAGATAATGCCAAGTATAGTTGAAATCTATCACATCCAATCACAATAGATATGAATGCAATAATGGTTACTGCATCATCTTTCTGTTTCAAATTTCAATAATTAAGTGCAGTACACCATTGTAGGTAAACACTAAATCCCATAATGCAATAGGAGATGTCAATTAGAGAACAGTCAGAATATGATCACACTGTTACAATACCTCCATGGTTACCATTTAATACATAAATTTATTTTAAGAATTTTACATGAATGCTATGTTAATTAAATAAGTAACCACAGAAAGCTAACCAAATGATACAGGCGTTTTAACAAGAGGTTGGCTACTAAAACATTATTCAGATGAGCTTTCGCTAGGGTCATAACCTACTAATTCTTTACACTGCTGCTGGCTTATGTTGAGACTTGCCACAAGTCCCTTATTATTATTTTTTCTCATTCTGGACAGTGCCACCAACAAAACAAGTTCATTCAGAGATGAAATAAAAGAAATCCGAAAAAAAAAAAGAAATTCAGTATCGGATTCCAATTAAGTAATGTATGGCGTGCACTAAGTGCAATAAAGAGTGATTAAGGGCCTGGAACCCAGTCTAGTTTATGTTGTGCCTATCTCTTTTTCTTCTTTTTAACAACAAACACTACTGGATCTAGATTAGCTGGGTTAAAAATGCTTGTTAATTGCTCTCCTTTTGATTTACTACAACATTCTATGCATTTACATTAAATTCACATAGGTTTCACTTAAGTAGAGGCAAGTTTCTAAATTACAAATCCAACGAAATACTTTAACAAGTAGAAGGAAAAGCACAGATCAAGCAATCTTGTAAATAGCAGTCTTAATTATTACTGCTTTAAAAAAAATTTCATTCACATTCCAACAGCAAGTAGCTCGCCAATTAGAGGATGGATGAGGCTATGTTTACACACGCCAGCTAACGGTTACCAGGATCCCGATAAATAACATACGCGCTCACCCTTATGTTCATACAAGAAAATCCCCGATCCAGATATCAAGAAGATGACGGTGGGATCACTGGCCAATACAAAACTGAAAATTGGAAAATGCATACGCGCAATTGGTTAATGATGGAAACACGCTAAACTTGCTAAACAGATAGCGCTCGCTAACGGTTAGCACTACCCAATCGGGTGTTCTCACACAGGTGTGGTTGGTTAGCACCCGATACAGATACTAGGGTTCTAGAATGAACCTAACCTTAGAAAGTGGAGTTGGTTTTAGTTGTTAGGAAAAGCCCTACCGTCACAGGAATTGAACCCAGGACCTTTGGGATTGGAAGGGAAACATCTTAACCACCAAGCTATTCAAACCCAGGATAAAAAATTAATGGAAATGACTTCCCAGTAACAAAACTGAAATGTACAGTATTTTGTTTAATATCTACAGGCTTGCACTTAGAATATTGATTAAAATAACAGAAATAACATCTTTGGCCAAGTTTCAAAAGGAATAATTTTGTGTAG